GAGGTTACAAGCACACAGTGTTTCTTCCAGACTTTTTTCTCCGGGGGGACACTTGAAATCTTCGGGGGGGCGGTAAACTTTCTTCGGGGGGGCGGACACTGTTAAAAGTATATATTTTCTATATAAATTATATAAATTTCATTTCGTTCGGGGGGGCGGTAAAAATTTTTCGGGGGGGCTTAGCCCCCCCCCCCCCCCGAAGAGATGCCTGGAAGAAACTCTGCAAGCACATTAGACCTGCAATGTTTTTCATATTCAAATTGTACATTATGTACTCATTTATGAGTGAAAATTAAGATTACCATGTTAGCTAATAATTAATTAAACAGATTGATAGTTTTGGTACATTTTTTAATAAATAATTTTAAGAAGAAGTTCAGTAAATTCCTACATTTCTTTTGGTACATATCATAATAGTACAGACATATGATTTGACATTTAATAATTCAATTTCACATCAATCTATACATGTAGTGTGTCAAAACCTATATAGCAACTCACTGTTTAAGAACACATTCTAATCTAGAAGATACTTCAGAAAAAAAAGTTACATTTCATGACACACTTTTGAAATAACTACATTCCTTTATATTTATATCAGCTTTAGTTAAAAAATATTATTACCTTCAGCCATATAGACTGAATATATAAGGTACAGAAATTAGCCTATTCTGGTACAATGGTTGTTAAAAAAAAATTCTCTACTTAATTAAATCAAGGATAATGTTTAACATAAAAATTTTTTAATTATTAAGATTTATGCTCCAATCCTCACCTCTTGCAATAATTTTTATTTAAATATTCTTTAATGCCCATATTACATACTAGTATGTATGTCTTAATGTATGTTTTATATGGGGTTGTATTCCCTTTGAATTTGTTGATAATAATCATTTATTTTCTGAATAGAATTTTTTGTCTGTTAGACATTCAGAACACAGCTAGTTCTTTTCTATGAGGGCATTGCCTTTTCTTAATGCCATATTCTCCAATAATCTATCAGAACATTTCACTTCCCTAATGCCATCTTCTCCAATAATTTATCAGGAAATTTCACTTCCCTAATTCTATCTTCTACAATAGTCTATCAGAAGAAGCTCCTAACTTTCCATTTCCATGTAAAAATATATATATTAATTAAATTTTGATCGTAAACTGATTATAATTAAATTTTAAAATTCTACTCTATTATGGGTAGTAAGTAATGTAATATTTAAGTTTAAAAAAACCTTTCTATTCATTTTTATTTGGTTCTGTTGATCCAAAACATTGGAGTGTTTCTACCAAATTCCTCTAGCCTACCTTTAAACCACTCCACATCTTCATTGCTAGTTTCCATAAAGCGAAAAATTCTTCTTCAGCTGGTTTTTCCCGTCTCTATTAAATTTTTTATGCTCATACATATACATACATTAACATTTATATCAATTTATATATATATATATATATATATATATATATATATATATATATATATATATATATATATATATATATATATATATATATATATATATATATATATATATTATATTATATTATATACACACAAACACAATTTTTATAAAAATGTATTTTTATGACTATAAGAAACATTATTTGATAAAATAATTCCATTTCATAACAGCCTAACGTGTAAGATTTTTTTTTTTCAAGAAACTTTCACAAAATTAATTCATGCAATGAAGGGTTAACAGTTTTATCATTTAGAGTGTTTAATAAGTTCTAGTTTGATGTGTTTGATCAGTTATAGTTAGCTGTGTGTTTTATATGCTATAGTCCTGGGTGTTTTGTTTGGTACAGTAAGGGTAATTTGTGTATTATATTTAGGATTGTTTTGTATGTCGCATTTAGGGTTCATGCGGGAAAGCTAATGCGCTATTGACACACTCATCTTTTCTCAGTTCCTGAGTTGTATGTCTGACCATATATATTCAATTAGAAAAATGTAATGATAAGTGTGTATTTCTATAGGCTATGCTTGAGCAATAATTGAGAGTTCTAAATTAGATACTGTTACTGTACAGCATTTGTATTTATGTTATCGTTTAAATAAAATCCAGAATATTTTATCCTCGACTTATATGTGTATTACCTTTACCAGAACTAACACTAACAGTCAATGAGACTGTATTTACCAATGGCAGGGAAATAATGATTACAACAACACAAATAATAATAATACTGTATTTACACCAGATGAAGATAACACTATTAGTGATTGCCTTTGCATTCAACGCTATCAAACAAAATTGACATTTAGTCAAAATATTTCTGAAGAAAAATGTACACTTAAGTCTAGTAAGCCATATAATAATATAGTGACTAAAAATCATAAACAATTAATTTGAATTGTTTATGATTCTTAGTCACTTGGACGTCGCCTAGTATATAAAATCGGGAAAACCCCACTTTACATTGTTACCGTCAAAAGAATTTCTTAAAATCCAGACGGTTCGGTTATATGAATTGTTTCATACGCTGCGCAGTTAAAGACGCAGCTGGGGGGGGGGGGGGGGGTCAAAGTTAAGAAATTTGACGGCGACTAGCCTTTGCATACTGATTTAACTGCAAGCTAACTTGATTGTGTAAGTGTACAACAAATACCCTTTTAATATTAACGAGCCGGCCCGCGGCATAACATACGCCGCTATTTAGTTGTTTTATTTTCTACTTTTCAGTCATTCATAATTTGTGAATTCGACAGTACCAACGCTGCCACTGAAAATATTTCTTTAAAACACTATAAGTAGCTCGTTAAGGACCATAACCCCCCCCCCTTCCTCCCCCCCTCTTCCCCCCCCCCCCCCAAATTTAAAAATCGTTGGCTCTGCTTGTAAACATTTAGAGTGAACACAGCTCACTAAGACCATGTAGGGGTGGGGAAGGTAGGGAGCGTTTACAGCTTGTTTTCTAGCGGTTCCCAGAAGAGAATTATATATATAGATTGAAAGATAAGTGTCTCTAAGTATTAAGATAGCCGATTCAAGGTTTCTACATTTTCTCCTAGGACCTAGGATGAAGCAATTGAAACCAGTGGCGTAGGCAGGGGGGGGGGGGGGTGTTAGGGGGGTCATAACCCCCCCCCCCCCCCATAGACCCCTCGGTATATAGAAAAAGTATGAGGGGGGTGCAAATCGATAGATTGAGGAGGGGTGCAAATCGAAAGTTTGAGAAGGGGTGCAAATCGAAAGTTTGTCCCCGGGTAAAAATTGGAACCCCCCCCCCCCCCTTGAGACGATCCTGGCTACGCCACTGATTGAAACTAATAATGCAGAGGACGTGTCGAAACTAGTAAAGTATCTATACAAATTATATTACAAATTCTATACAAATTATAGTTTTTTTCTTAATTTCCCTCTACTTATATTCATATATAATTCTTGATTTAAAAAAATGTGTATCTACCAATTTCTAATTATTAATAAATCACATGTTTATCTATGTTACGGTCAAAGCCCGAAGTGCGGCCAAAGCGCGGATTGGCTGGCCAATCCGCGCATTGGCCGGCTCTCTTGGCCAAAGCTCGAAGAACTTAGCATTAAGATCGTTTTTCGTACATTGGCCGGCCAATGCGCGCACTGGCCGGGACGTACTGGCCAAAGTCCGAAGCGCTTAAACTTGACAGCGTATTTTGTACATTGGCCGGCCAATGCGCGCACTGGCCGTGATGTCCTGGCCAATGTTCTCTCTAGACTAAGTTGTGATCGCATTTTCATATTTTCATTATTCTGGGTGCGTTTTTATTGAGAGTAACGTATTGTTTAGCTCTTGTTTGTATAGCATTCTATATGCAAGACGACATGGATCAAAAGGGCCGTCAGACCATGAGACAGACATAGCAGATGGCTGTCAAAAGAAAAAAAATGTAAATCCATGTTAGTTTCCATATATGGGCTCTCGATAAAATAGTTACTGAGGAAGATCTTGAGAACATTGAACAAGAAATGGAGGTTGCCATAAATGCAACGAAATCCTCAGCTAACACGTCTACTGCCGTGGCGGAACGTCCAGACCAGTTGCGTGACAATAATGTGGCCAACAGATTCTGTATAGTTTGTGAAAAACATTGTAGTGCAGCTCATTCTTTTGGATCCTGTGGCAACGATGTCCATGCTATTTGTGGAATACCCAATGAAGCAGACGAAGGGTACGGAGGGAACAATACCTGCAGATTGTGTCACAACAAACAAGACATCATGGAACACAGATCAGCAGCTCATACTGGCTTGCAAACTCAAGGTGCTAAGATGCTTAAAACATCAAATACAAAATTTAAAGATGGCGAAGTGGGTGACAATCGAGGGCGGTTTCTACAAATTAGGAACGGAACATGGTGTTCTAAAACAACTGTATGCTAGAAGTGAGTTTTCAATTCTTCACGAAAAACTGCTCTTATTGTCGTCAGTTGGCACAGAGGAAAAATCACTACGAACCATCGCATCTTCACAATCATTGACCGTCGGCCAAGGCTACACTCGCTGCAATTGCACAACTAAGTGCACAACAAATAGCTGCAAGTATAAAAATAACAAGCTGCTATGTAATTCTAAATGCCATAAACGTTCAACTTGTTTAACAAATGATGATATTGATAGATTGAGACTATAGTACAATAAAAAATTTGAATGTTTCTGTCATTTACTTTAATTAATAATCAATAAAGACTTAATTTCATGATCATTACGGCATAAAATAAAACAAAATCTGCTCATGATCTTCTAATTAAGACTTTGGCCGATCCACCATGGCCAGTCTGCGGACTGGCCGGCCAAAGGCCGAAATCAAGAGCTATTTTAGAATTTGGCCGGTCCACCATGGCCAGTCTGCGGATTGGCCGGCCAAAGACCGAAATCAAGCAAAGTTTCGGACTTTGACCGACCTATGGGAGGCGATATTGGCCAATGCGCGGATTGGCCGGCCAATCCTAGCATTGGCCGACTTCGGGCTTTGACCGTAACATCTACTTGAAACTAAACAATGTAAAATCGGAAAATCCCAAAATATCTTACGTGTATTTTACGTATTTCTTGAAAAAACCTGAAGATCGACATTTTAAATAAACATACAGTCTGCTGCTAAAGGTAGGGGCTTATTTTTATGAATATTATTATTATTGTTTTTATTATCATTAGTATTAATACAAGAATTATTGTTATTGTGGACTCTAAATATTAATGTGACAATACACTTTTTTACTGAACATTATAACTTTATTATACATATATACACATCTTGGAGTTGAGACAACCAAACAAAAATGCATAGTTGAAATAATGGGGGTCATCCATAAATAAGGTCATGCTTTTTTTTACGATTTTAACCTACCCCTTTCCTCTGTCATACGTCGTCACAAAAAGCCAACCCCCCCTCTCTAAAATGACGTCACACCTCAGCCTACAACCCCCCCCCCCCTTAAAATTGCAGTTGAATTTTTTTAAAGCATCGATATTTTTCTAAAATCTTGTCTGAACTCTGTCAAAATAGATTATTTTAATCGATTCCTATTACAATTTATTAAAACAGTTTTCTAAAACGCGAAATAATGTCTAAAATTCGTTTTCTAACATTGCTTTTTTTATAATGCAAAAGTGTGACGTCACACCATCTTAACCTCCCCCCCCCCCCTCTCCTCCTCATCACACCCCCTACCAATTACTTCCTTATATAATTAAAACAATAAAGCAGAAAAACACATTTTATTTCTTAAGTTTGTTTTGATGTTGAAAAAATCAATTATCTAATTAGCATGATTTGATAAAGTGCAATGTGATAGGTAAAACAAAGGTATTTTAAATACGAACTTTTATAAATTTATACACTGAATATATTGTTTACTAATTATTATTTTATTGATAACCGTTCAGAAGACATCTAGGATTGATTTCCCATTCCTCCGATATAGGGAAATTTATTGTATACTCAAATTAGAAGAACTGTTGAAAATTGATAATAGTGTTGGAACCTAGGCCTAATAAAAATAGCAAACGGACATATTGTTAAAGCTATAACCGACAGAAAATTAGCTTTATAAAGCGTTAAGATTTTAAATGGGTAACTTGATTTTCCATAGAAGACCCCATGTTTGTTGTAAAATAAACCGGGACTGATCTCCCCTAAACTTTCTCGAATATCTAATATATAAAGTTCAATTCTGTATGTTTGTTTGTAAAATGTTTGTTTGTAAAATGTTTGTTTGTAAAATGTTTGTAAAATGTTTGTAATCAAGGATTACAAAGGAATATAACAAAAACGAAACAAATGTGATACTTTCACGGAGTCAAGTGTTAGATTATTAAAGTGCTCATGGTCTAAATTTATGAGTTAAAAAATTACTATTGAAAGTCTTTCAAAACAATTTTCATTTTATATACTTAGAATAATAATTTTCAATTATGAACATTACATAAAATTAAACAAAAGTGTATCAACGTTTATAAAATTTCTAAAATTGTGTCTGAAATGTATTTGCATTCTGTCCTTTAGTTCTCATTACGTCCCTTGATTTGGAAAACACAGTTACTTCCCTTTAAAAAACCATTAAATCGGGGGAAGAAAGAATTTACTTTTTATTACTTTGTTTTGGTGTTAGGAAAAAAAATAATTACATAATTAGCGGGGATTGTTTAAGTGCAGTGTCGTTGGTATTTTTAATACTGCCTTTTATTTATTCTATACACTGAACATACTTTTTACTAATATTTTTTTAAAATCAATAACATTTAATAAGCCAGGTCCTACAAATCCTATATGTTTATTTCTTTCCATTTACGGATAAGCTTGGAGTATTATAATTTTGTTCACTAAATTGAAACAGGCGCGTCCGCCTGCGCCCCTGCACGGTTCGATTTGGCGCCCTGGGCTATCATGTGAGCTCTATGCTGCATAATTTTGTTTTAAACAATGCGATAGACTATGGATAAGAAAGGTTACTATAGTCTTTAAGTTAATCAAATCCGGACGTCCTCCGGCACTCCGACAGGGTGCTATTTGGCGCCCCGGGCCTCTTCCGTGTTTGCAATTGTACCTACGTTCGCGTAGGTGAATTCAAAAGACAATGAATAAGTTGGGTCGTTTACTAAGTTGAATCAGGCGGTTACGCCGCACGTCGTCATGGTGCGATTTGGCGTCCCGAGCTAGACTGTGGACACTTTTAATTTATATTGACGTTTGTATTTTCTTTGTGTTTGAGTTTGGGTTTGCGATTGTGGTTGGGTTTGTGTTTGCGTTTGGATTTGGGTTTGGATATGTTTTCGTTTGCTTTTTTTCTTTGCGTATGTGTTTTCGTTTGCATTTTTATTTGCGTTTGTGTTTTCGTTTGTGTTTGTATTTGTGTTTGTGTTATGTTTTCGTTGTTTTTTTTTTTGTGTTTTGGTTTCGTTTAGTTGTGGTTGGGTTTGTGTTTGCATTTGGATTTGTTTTCGTTTGCTTTTTTGATTGCGTTAGTGTTTGTGTTTTCTTTGTGTTTGTGGTTGCGTTTGTCTTTGCGTTTGTTTTTGTGTTTTCGTTTGTGTTTGTTTTGTGTTAGTGTTATGTTTGCGTTTTTTGTGTGTTTATGTTGGTTGTGGTTAGGGTGGGCAATGCCGGGTTTACGCTAATTACCAAACACACAAGTTATGGTCCTTACAGATACGTTTTTCAGAGATGCCAGTGCAGGGCCTGGCCGGGTTGGCTTGTTCTTATATAAAGCAACAGGGGATGGGAACTCGGGATATAGTTATTATTTTTAATCAATTTTAAGTACTTAAACTTTTTAAAATAGAATAGTGCGCAATATTATTAGTACTTTATGAATTTACATGCGTTTTTTGAGAAATCGGAAATAGCGTAAATTAGTACTTCCAGTCAACGGAAATTACTCAAAATTTGACAGAAGGCAGAGAATTAGATTTTTGCTTACATGTGAAATTTCATTTATCTATCTGAAATAGTACTCAAGTTATAGGCTTTTAAAAAATTCAAAGTAGAAAAAGTACCACTTCCGGTTATCGGAAATCGCTCAAAAGTTCATTTTTATCTACGATTTTGATAAAATACTTATATATGAAATTTCATCAACCTAGCTGTAACGGTACTCATGTTATCGTGTTTACACACACTAAGACACACACACACACAGAGACACACAGACATACGGACAAGATTGCAAAATTATGTTTTTCCGTATCAGTGAGGTGTAAAACGTTGAGATTTGGAAAAATCTCGATTTTTTTTTGCACGATTACAAGACTTTCTCTATACTTACTCTATTTTAAAGTATTTAAAATGGATTTAAAATCATGTCTATATCCCGATTTCCCATCTCCTGTTGTTTTATATAATATTCGAGAAAGTTTAGGGGAGATCACTCCCGGTTTATTTTTAAATTTGTTTGTTTGATGTTGATAAAACTTTACATTTTAAAACCATTTTATGCTTAAGATCTACACAAACAGCAGCCATGGAGAATAAAACAAAGCAAATACAGAGATTGGAGTCAACCTCTACAGGTACAAATTCAGTTCATATATTAAATCAAAGTCATTTTGAGTATCATATTACATTATTACTTTTATAAGAAATTAATTAGAATAAAGAAGAACACTAAAATGATAACTTGCATGTGGGAAAGTGTCTATCCGAGAATATACTGCATTCGGGCAATAGTGTTTCTGGAAAATATTCAGCTCCTTATATATATATATATATATATATATATATATATATATATATATATATATATATATATATATATATATATATATATATATATATATATATATATATATATATATATATATATATATATATTCTTGTATCTTCATTATGTTATATTTCTATTTCAGATGCTGCTATAATCAGCGTTCAAAACAAACTAAGAAATCACGAGAGTACCAACACTTTTCTTCGAGGTTAAAATATTTAGCAAGTAGTTTTAGTCATAGATTTTAAACTTTTTCATCAGCTTTTTAAATAAACATGTTACCCTGATGGTAAAAGAAACATTAGACAATGTGAAGTTTTGAATTTGTACGTTATCATAATAACTTTGTCACACACACACACACACATTTACTGGTGTTATAGGAAATCATGAAGCTGAGATGTGCTATGGTGGAGAAGCTAATTTACACAAACATGTGGCAGAATGTGAGAAGAATCCAGGTCACAAAGATTTTATACCTCTTAAAGATTTCAACAAAAATTGTCTCCCCTCACGTTATCAAGGCGACGAGCTCATGTCTGAGACAATCAAAACATTGGCAGCCCTAACTGTCCAGGTAAAGACTAAATTCACCAGTCTAGAGAGACCAGAGTTTTACCCAGGCACTCAAGATCCATATCCATGTTATAATGACAGAGGAAGTAACGCGTTGAGGCTAGGGACGGGGATGGTGTGTTGTGTGTCGAAAGATATTAACGAGACTTGTCATTGTGCTAAGTGTCAAGACTCTGGCACACCGAGCAAAATCTATAAAGAACTTCATGTACAGACAGTGAGGCCAATATGATAAAAGTTCAGTTGTTATCCTGGAGGGTTGGTGGATGGTTGATGGAGAGGTTGATGGGGATAGATGTGAGATAAGTTTTGAGTCATGTGACTTAAAACTGATTCGTGAACTTGACTTGTTGTTATCCCGGTTTAATGATTTAAGAGAGGAAATAATAAAAACATCTTTGAGATCTGCAGATGCGGACAAGTTGACTGTCATAGTGTCACATCCCCATGGCTGTTCTAAACAGGTCTCTGTAGGACAATGGACACAAAGATATGCGAAAAATAGCTTTGCCATCAGGTACTGGTATACAGCGTGTACATGCCCGGGCTCCAGTGGAGCTCCGGTCTACTTAGTGGAATATAATAAAGGTTTGTATCACCATCCCCACAGTGGATCAAACTCAGAAGGAAATTACTGTTCGGAGTGGATGGATTGACGTAACAGTTTTTAAGCCTTCATAAAGTCTTAAAAAACACTATAAAAATCACATTTTTGTTAATTGTCTATTAATAATTGATTGTAATTAAAAAGTAAACAGTCTATTTTTGAAAAAAAAAAGATATTTTTATTTAAAACTAACTTTATTGGTTTAATTGATTAGTAGTTGCGCTATCTGGGTTGTATATATGCAGTACAAAATATTAAATACAATATAAAATAGTTGATAGTACTGGAAATAAACCGGTAGTGATCTCCCCTAAACTTTCTCGAATATTCTTATATAAAACAACAGGGGATGGTAACTGGGGATATAGTTATGATTTTTAATCCATTTTAAATACTTAAACTTTTAAAAATAGAATAGAATCTCATAAAAAAAACATTGCGCACCAAGCAAACGCCGAATAAAAACGCGTATAATAGTGCGCAATATTATTAGTACTTTAAAAATTTACATTAGTTTTTTGAGAAATCGGAAGTAGCGTAAATTACTACTTCCAGTCAACGGAAATTACTCAAAATTTAACAGAAGGTAGAGAATTAGATCTTTTACTTACATGTGAAATTTCATTTATCTATCTGAAATAGTACTCAAGTTATAGGCTTTTGAAAAATTCAAAGTAGGAAAAGTACCACTTCCGGTTATCGGAAATCGCTCAAAAGTTGATACGGATCTACGATTTTGATAAAATACTTATATATGAAATTTCATCAACCTAGCTGTAACAGTACTCAAGTTATCGTGTTTACACACGGACAGACAGACACACAGACACACACACACACAGACATACGGACAAGATTGCAAAATTATGTTTTTCCGTATCAGTGAGGTGTAAAACGTCGAGATTTGTAAAAATCTCGATTTTTTTTTTTTGCACGATTACAATACTTTCTCTATACTACGTATATACGAGAAAGTAAAAAGTAAAATAATGTTTTTTCTTCTACATTGTACAAAAATTGAATAAAGATTAGCTTATATAACTTGAGATTTATTATATACTAAAATATCAAAAGAACATAGAACATAACGCATAGCAATACATTATTATTTGAAACCGTCTTGTTACAAAGTTGAAAGGTATACCTAGAATAGTGTGCGGTCACATAATCCCCGACTCTTAACCCTCAACAGATTATCCTTTAGTCAGTTAAACTCTAAATGCAAATACAATTGTTAGAATAAAGAATGTAATTTATTTTTCTAAATTTTTACTATCGCAAATGACTAATGTGTGTTTGTGTACTACAAATTGTATGTTAACAAATATTCTTGCTCAATAAAATATCATTTGCTGTTATGGTGGCATCGAAAGGAACCAATCTTTTTTATTTAAAAAAATGTTTTTGTAGGACAATTCGAGTATTTCTTGTACATTTCGTCCTTGTCGTAGAAAAAAAATGTTGAAAAATATATATATATATATATATTGATATATATATATATATATATATATATATATATATATATATATATATATATATATATATATATATATATATATATATATATATATATATATATATATATATATATATATATATGAAGATTAGTATGTTCATTAGCAGAGAATTAGAAATTATTAATTTGTTTTCACAACCATAGTAACATTGACATATATCAACCCATCATCTTAACTTACAGTTCAATTAGTATCATTTTTGATTGGCTGTGTAGAACCACTAACAGTTTTAGCTTTGTAAACCCAACTACTGGTAAATATTTTGATCCTTACGATTTTAAATATTTCACTTACACATTGCGCATTTTGGTGTTGTAACACAATTTTAAAAAAATAAAAATAAAAAACAGTTGGCTACTTTGTACACATTTATTTTTGTAATTACGCATACCGTGGATTACTAAAGCCATGTATGTTCATCTTTGTCATGTGTAGGTGACACATTACCAAATTGTTTTGTACTTTTATCAAGTTATAGCTTGGTATCAAACATTTTAAAATTAATACGTCTAATCAGTAGAAAAGCACTACAACTTACAACCAGTAACTTTTTTATATTATCGCACGTTTTCATAACACTTATTTCCAAAGATTAAATCTAGAATCAATCCAACTTGATGCCATTGAGTTAGTCGGTATGTCAAGGGTTCAAGTTTTTACATATTTTCCAGAAAAATCTAATTACACTCTGACACGAGTAGCCATTAAAAAGACGTGTTTAAAACGTTAGATCATATTTAAAGACTTATTTTGGACACTTAATGCAACATAATACTTATATATGAAGTTTGATAAACATAACAGACAAAATTGGAAAACCTAGTTTTATCGTTCTGGAAGGAGGTATAACGTCACATTTTGTAAAAATCTCGATTTGTAGCATGATTATATTTCGTATTCGATAAATTAGAGAAGTGTAAGAGTAGGCAAGAAAATACTTGCATACGCGGACGATACTACTTTCTTGATTCGAACAGAAAAAATCAATAAAGACTGTTACAGAAAAATTCAACATCTTTGGGAAATGAAGCGGGGGCAAAATAAACGCAAAAAAAAAAAATCAAAAGTAATGGGGATAGGTAAATGGAAAGGTAAAGATAATTACAACATAGACATTACAATAACAGCCAAACTGAGAATTTATGGAATAACCTATACCAGCGATCCCACAAAAGACGATCAAGAAACTTGGGGCACACTGAAAAATAAAATATATCACCATCAGGAAAATTACCAATACTGCAATACAACTATCTTTGCCAGAGCTACATTAGTAAACAGATATATCATGCCAAAAATAATTTTCATAGCAACAAACTCTACAATACCCTACTAAAATAAACACCTTCCGATTAAAACATCTAGATAGAATAAGGATAGAGCCACATTATCATTCATTAGCACAATACTAGATAGGGTTAAGCATAAAGAGCATTCTAAAATTAAACATCACAACATTACATTGGCAGCTTTTATAAACATATATTGCGTACCTAATAACTGAAATACAGCGTTAATATTTTCGACAATCTATATATATAATTCTCTTCTGGGAGCCGTTAGAAAACAAGCTGCAAGCGCGCCCATTACAGCCCCCTCTCTTCCTCTCTAGCACTACCACCCCCACCCCCCACATGGTCTGGTGAGCGATGGTTCACTCCAAATGTTTACATTCGTGGAGTCGGGTTTAGTGACGGCCATTAGGGGCAGATAATTTAGTTTGAATTGATTTTAAACTACTTGGAGGAGGTAATTAAGAGGAAATCGCCTTCACGGGGGGGGGGGGGGTTATAGGGTAGGGGTTGGGGGAAAGGGAGGGGGGTAGTGTTTTAAAGCAAATATTTTCAGTGGCAGCATTGGTACTGTCGATTTCACAAATTATAAATTACTAAAAAGTAGAAAATAAAACAACTAAATAGCGGCGTATAATACGCCACGGGTCGGCTCGTATTTATTATTAGGCCTAAATATCAAAAGTGGAATCTAAAGGTCCTCATTTAACGCGATTAATTTCGTCTTAATTTCACTTTTTACCAACAGGATATGAGATTTGTTTGTTTTAAAATGTTATTACTTCGATCTTAAGTTCATTAAGTGGACTTCCGCATGGACCAGAGCCCCCGTTCCCCCACAGTAGACACGCGACCATAAAAGTCGATTTTTCGGACACCCCCCTCCCCCCTCCGTGTGGACGTCATAAATGGATGATCCCTTAGTGTCACATCTAGGTGTGTGCATGGACGAGTTTTACGGTCGCCTGGTAATTGTTTGACCTGAGATGGCTGGCGATGGGTTGACTGGAGTGAACCCCACCACACAGTCCTCAGACCTGGGATGTAAATTTTTGAAAACACGTAATGTGATACCTTATTGTATTTGGACCAATGTAGAGTTGTTTTTTTTAATTAGTAAGTAGGCATGATGCCTGCTAGTCTTGTCTGGTTCGTCGAAGTAGCCAGATACGTAGGATCAATGGCGTCGCTAAGTCGGGTGTCACCCGGTGCGGCACCTCGTGATTAAAGAG